GATTAAGAAATTAAGTGAAAATTGATGGACAAAAACATGTTTATGCTGTAATATATTAGCACAGAAGTTGCTTCCAGCTGTACAGGGTTGCAATTCCTCTAGCATTAATTAAATCGTTTTAATAAGAGCCGATAAAACTCCCCAGAGAAAAACAAGTGGACTCTGACCGACCCTGCAGAGAAAGTAAACGGTTTTAGTTAAATTAAAAGCATCAGAATTAGCAGAAATGTGGCTAATTTAAACATTTTCAATTCCTCTTTGTAATCTCATCAGATAATCAGTCCAGAAGGGGTTTCTCTACTGGAAGAGGCTCTGCAGTTCAAGAAGTTTAACAAGATATCTTAAAGATTAAAAAAATGCAGAAAAAGCCTTTGTGACTATGTGAATTACCACTTGTTGGATGCTGCCTAGACGTCCCAAAATGTTTAATTAAACAATGGAGATTTTCCTCTGTATAAACTAACTGTAAAACTGTGTGGATGGATACAGCATAATAACAAGGAAGGAGGGAAGGCAGGACTTGAGTGAGACATAAATGCGCTAGTGGGTCATCCATTGTGTGACTAATCTTTGTAGTTTGGACATAGACAAATTTAAAGGCATTCTGCCCTCATATCAAGGATACAACCTCATCATTCCCATACCTGACCAGCATGGGAATTGCTATGTGTGCAACTTCCTCCCAGCTTGTATATGTTTTGCTTATCAGGTACTGATGCTCTCATGAGGAAAGAAGCGGCCACACCTCCAAATTGTGCAGTTTTATGGGAGACTGAGTGAAATGATCAAGACTTTAGAAATGTATTAAATTAAACAGGTGTAAAACTGGAGCCTCTAGTGTGTATTTAGTTCAGAAGAAAAAGTTCTACATTAGAGCAGCATTTATCCTTGCCAGGGAGACCAGATACTATGGGCCGGATCTATCAAAGGTTTGCGTGTATTAAAACGTGAGCTATTTCACTGCGCACGCTAAAAAATGTACAAACTGATCTATCAACAGCGTGCTAAAAGGATTTGGTCTTTAAAACGTGCTAAATAGCGCCTCTTATCCATTTAGTACTTTTTCTGCAATGAATATGCAATATGGGGCGTTTACACGCAAAAGTGCGTCTTGTGGGAGGAGAACATGTAAATATATTAATTTAGCACTCGCAAAGTGATTTATCAAACCTGAAAGCAATTTTGCTAACGCTATCTGACTCTATGTTTAACACGTTTCAAAAGAAGGTGCAAATGGTCTGTATGCGTAATTGCGCACACATGGCAGCGGTTATTGTCGCAAGAAGGAGACATGGAAATGAAGCAAGGAGACGCAGAGAACGCATTTTTTAACTCCGTCCGTGTGAATATTTTTGGAATGAACGAGGAAACGATCATCACAACATTTCGTTTATCCAGCATTGCCATTTTGGAGCTGCAATTCCAGTGATTTGCTCCTCACACAGCGTCAGCTGTACTTGTTCCTCAATGCTGGTCAGAGGCATCTCATCTACTGTGCCCCCTCCTCTTTTGTTCGCAGATGTTTTGTTATATGCCAGTTTTTCTTTGGTTCGCCTTCTAATATCCTGGTATCTTCTTTTTACTTCATCCACTGTTCGCAAGGTTTCACTGACAGCGTTTACTTTATTACTGATTTGTTCACATATAGCGTTCCTCTGTGTGACAGGCACACTTCTTTGCTGTAGCTCACTTAAATGTTTGTTGGCTTCATCCACCAACACCTCCATTTCCATGGGGTCGAATTTCCTTTTGCGCCTTCTGCTGTCCAAACTCGCCATGCCGCAAACCACAAAACGCGCAAAACCATCATTTAAATAGGGCGTCTCCAACAGTTTTGCACCTGCCACCAGTTACGCAATCGCTCTTGTTAAATCACCCGCAAACCATGGTTCAGCCCCTCGCGCAAAATTCCAGTTTGCGAGCGCAAATTACTGCACGCAAAATTGGATCTTGATAAATCCGGCCCTATGTTTCTGTCTTTTCTGTCACAAAGTATTGTACTAACTACTTAGGAACCACAGGAAGAGATTCTCATAAACAAAGTAGATAGTTTTGCACAAATAGGACTGTTGAAATATCCTTGAACCAAAGGAGTTTAGCTTCTGACCAAAACATCAACAGCTTCGGAGGTGTCTCAATATAAGAACCACATCTAGCCTTGTCTAACAGGTGTTCTGCTTGAGTGAATACTTTTATGCAATAAAGGAAACAAAACAAGCTCATGTTCAGTTTATTAAATAGAGGAATAAAGGATCAATATTTTTTTTCCCATCACAAGTCCCTGTACAGTTATTGAAACACTTCTTCAGCAGAGCTTGGATCAAATGTCTTTTATCGGGGCTCCTCTTCCCACCATAAAAGACATTTCATCCCAGCGCTGCGTGTCCTGAGCCCCTAACATCATAAATGACCCCTCATACCCCAACCATGAACTGTTCCCCCTGCTGCCGTATGGGAAGAGGCTTCAAAGCATCCGATGCAGGTCCAGCAGATTCCAAAACAGCTTTTTGCCCGCTGCCATCAGACTACTGAATGTTGAATAAAACGAGAGAAAAAAAAAGCTGAATGTTGAATAAAACGAGAGAGAAAAAAAAGCTGAATGTTGAATAAAACAACAAAGAAAAAAAGCTGAATGTTGAAAAAACTGTAAATCATATCTTAGTCCTATGTTTGCATTTGATCGCCTTGCTTACATTTGATCATTGCTGCACTTAAAGAAATGGAAATGTCTTGAGAGCTGTCCTGAACATAGTTGCGTTTCATATACACCCTGTGTATACAAAATGACAAGAAAATGTGTCTAAGTCTTCAGACTGGTCATCCTGGGTGTGAAATGTTTAGTGTTGAGTAAAAATTTTTTTTTTTTTTTTTTTGAAAAGCAAAAATAATCTATGAGAACCTCTTCCAAAAATGTACTTTGAATTCAAGTACCAACATAAGAAGACAGACCACTTCACAGCTTTGGTTAAAAAAGCATGCTGCTAGGATGTGCCGCTTCCTATAAAGAATTTATATAGAGAAATTTCTCACATTCTAGTGCGGATGTGATAACTGTTGCCGTATCATTGTGATAGGATGTCTTTGAAAGCTGCAGGGTAAACACCATCCTAGAGACAATGAACCCTCGTCTAATCCGACATGAAAGGGCCCAAAAGCAACATAAGCATCAAATATTTTGCAGGGGTTTCTCATTTACATAATATACTGCATTACTCACATAAAATGTGATACAAATTCTTGAATTCCTTTCCATCTGGTTTTAGGAGAAAAGAAAAATAAACAATTGCTGTAAAAAATGTGATACTACTCATTTTAACCTTTCCATTGTACTTATGTACATTTGTGTTTTATTCTGCTGTTGATAGTTCTGTAATAATAGATTTTGCAGAGCCATAGCTGCAGGTCATGATGCCATTTATCTGTCAGGTTCCAAGCAGTTTTGGTATCCCAGTGTTTTAAATACTATCATATTGGATATAAAAAAACTGGTAGGGATGGGTCCAGTGCCGCTCTGAACACTGGCGAACCGGGACTGAAAAAAGAAGGGGAAGTTCCTGTGGTTAGTTCAGGCTCAGTTGGAAATTTGAGCTCCGATTTGCAAAAGGGAGTAAGGCAGCAGGACTCACGTTTCCAGAAAACCTGTCTTCCTTTGAATCCAGTCGGTGCAGGTTGTTCCAGAAATTGGTTTGCTCATCGGAAGGCGAACAGGGTTTACCCAGGTTGTTTCCTTCAGAAACGGAGGAGCTGACTGCCACTTAGATTTCCTTCGGTACTAGAACGGATCTTGTGGAGATTAATTCCCTGCTCAGTGTGAAGCTCAAACAATCCTTTTGGGAAAAGTAGATCCAAACCTCCAGTTTGAATCCCCAGCTCAGTTTGAAGCTCAGACGATCCTTCCAGGGGGAGAAGGTCCAAAACATCCAGTTTGCAGGATGACTTCCTGCCGGGAGGCAAAGACAAAACAACAGGATTAAGACTCAGGTTGACAAAAACTCAGTTTGACTCAGCAAAACTCAGCTTGGCTAGAGTACCCAAAACTGGCAATGAGGTAGTGGCAGTCAGCAGCTTAAGAGTCCTCAGGTAATGAGGCAACCGTCTGCAGGTGTGTGAAAGGGCCAATGAGAACCAGGCGCCAACCGGTGGTAGAGGGACAACAAACAAAAACACAACCCACACAAACTGGATTCCTAACAGAATGGACATTACAGGTGAACACCACATGTTTCCATACAGTACATAAAAATTTACTTTCTCCTACTAACAGACTTTAAATCAATGTAAACATTTGCTGATTTAGTCCTTATATCTTAAAAAATGAATCTATTTGATAAATATAAAGAAAAACAAGTTTTTGTTACAGTCCATGCCAATATCTGGTTATAATTGTTTGCATGCTGTCAGTGCTATTTGACCATGTATTTTTATGAATGTTATCAGAGTTTGACACGTTTTCATATAAATATTTTTTGAGGTTTTGCATTCATGTTACCATCTACAGTTTGCATTTTGTGATGTAAAATCAGCCCTCGGCTTTACCAGAGCTTCTGAAATATAATCCCTTTTCTTTGCTCAGATTTGAACAATTGAATAGAGGGTAAAATAGCAACCAAGGAAATGTAAAAATCTGAGAAGTGGTTTTGATCTTAAGTCTATGGGGTCTGGCTTCCCCAAGAGGGAGGAAACTCAAAGAAGATCATATTCCTCTGTTTTGCCCAGGGCCCTTGAGCTAATCCCTTTCGATTTACTTTCCGCTGAAATCAAAAAACTGCCATCATTTCCTCTGTGTACCACAATGACCAGACCCACCGAGGGAAAATTAGTTGGCTGTGGCAGGTCATCCTCTCAGCACGACACATCTGCTTTGGTCTCTGCAGAAAGTGGCGGCGTTGGCCGCCGTCTTTGTCTGGAGAAGCATGTACGGAGACAAGCATGTATGACATGTTGACGGCGACGTCTGAATGCCTGCCGTCACATTTCTTTTGTCCCCTTTCTGTTTGCAGTGATAACATTCTGGTTCTGGATATCTACTTTGAAGCACTGAACTATGAAACCATTGAACAAAAGAAAGCCTACGAACTGGCAGGCCTTCTGGGTAAGGAAATGACTGTCAAGTGTTTTTCTTGGGTAAAGATAACATGCAGTGTTTAGCCTGGCAGACACTTTTTTTTTTACCCATCATGAAAGCAGAGTCAATGCATGCATTTTACAATAGGTGCTCAGAACCCTAAAGATGTAAAACTGTCTCTTTAATCTATTGTTGCCTTCAAGCTGCAGATTTTTGAACATTTTAATTTTTCTGTTGTATTTCTCGTCCTTCGGCTTGAAAGCGACTTTAATGCACTTGTGAATGCAGAAAAGTGATTACCATCTCTCTTACATGCTTTATCGCTTCTCTTTTCAGGCGATATCGGAGGTCAGATGGGTCTCTTCATAGGAGCCAGTATCCTCACTGTTCTTGAGCTCTTTGACTATCTGTATGAGGTAAAATATCACCCACCATCTGCTGTAATGGCAACCGTCTGCAATGATGATTGTTGGTAGGAATGTTTAAGAGAAACAAGGGAAAGAAGCTGCTTTTTTTCTGTAAGGAAAATATTGGAGCTTATTTATAGATGCATTCCAGCTCACCTGATATGAAAACAAGTAAATATTTGGATGATTTCCAGAAGCTAAAAGAAAAAGTAACACTATGCTTGCTTTTTTTTTTTCTTTAGGTGATCAAGTACAAGCTGTGCAGATGCATGAAGAAGAAACACAAAGGCCGCAGCAACAACGATCGGGGAGCTGTGCTGAGCCTGGATGATGTGAAACACCATGTCAGTATAGGCAGCTGCAGAGTACTTTGACTGTGTCAGACTGCATTGCTTTGACAGGAGCAGGCTCCTTTCTTCTTTGTCTCTACTGGCCTCGATTGCCGGCAGGGTGGTGTTGGCGAGAGAAAGAGAGAGAACAGACCAAGATGGAGGAAAAAGGGATTGAAAGAGGCTAAAAGAAAGCGGAGCAGGGAAAAGAAAAGCAATTGGGATGAGAGGGAAGGAAGACCGAGAGGGAGTTGTTGGAGAAGAGGCTTGGATTTAATCAAAGCAGCAGGACAGTACCAGCAGGGACAGGCCAGAATTAAAGCTTCAGAAGGTGTGACAGCTTACTTAAAACCAAGTGTAAATGAAACCAGCTCACTTTAATTGTGAGTCAGAGCGCAGGCAGAGAAAAACTGACAGGCGCTCCTCCACTCCTGCCACACTTAACAGTCTTCCAATTCCATTCACCTTCATTATTTTTCCAAGTGTTTCTCAGGAATCTCTTATCTCTACACTCCCAACCCAACCTGTTGCTCTATTCCTTTTCTTTTCTAGTAAAAGAGACATTCAAGATTATCTAATGTTCTGCACATTTATGCAGAATCTTTCAGTTTCCCACTCGCAACCATTTCAATATCTACCTTTTTATTTCCTCAGGCTCCTTGTGACAACCTGCGTACACCATCTTCATACCCCGGGAACATGCTACCTCACCATCCGGGCCAGGGCAACTTTGAAGACTTCACTTGCTGAGCAGACCTCAGTAAAGCATCACCGTGCGTGTTATGCAACCAAAGCCGACCGTGCAGCAAGAACTATCTGACGCACAGACAGGGAGGAACTGCTGCTGATGAATATAACAGAGGCACTTTTTACATAGAAACTAATAATAAAATATAAAAAATATTAAACACGATAAAAGGATTTTCATCTAAAAGCCAAGTGAAGACAAAAGCCCTGAAGATTAAAACGTATATTTTGATTTTTAGACAAACATTTCATGCAACGCTCGAAACTTTTTGCGTCTTCCTTTGGAATACTGCCACAGCGGATACTGGTGGAGAAGGCTGGCCAACAAGGAACCTTCTGTGAAAAAGAAAAAAAAATAGGAAAAGAAAAAAACATTAAAGGTTACTGAAAATTGTACAGTAATTTCACCGCAAACAATAAAAAAACCTCCATGCCTTTATGTATGTGAGACAAGAACATGATGCGACCATATGACCCCCACATCTGCTTCTGTGATGATATTCATGACGCTAACTCCACTGTACATGTAGCAACACAAGGAGAGGAACAGCTGCTATAGTCGGCTTCAGAATGCAACTCTGCTCATCGCTGATGAGGACATTTTAATGGTGGGGGGGAGCAGAAGCAGCAGCGGAGGTGAAACAATTAACATATGAAAATGTACTGGTGAAAATTTCAGGTCTCATTTTCATGGTAATGCATGCTTGTATCTGTCCAGTGCATGTTTTTTTTTTCATTTCATTTCTACTTCTAGTTGAGTTTAATGTCTTCATGTTCTGAACATATAAATATATATATGAATATACATTTACATTGTAATTACAAAGTCTGCTTCAGTGATGAGCAGGTAGAGGAAGATGATTTCTGTGTTTTTTGCTTACTGGTGTGTGTGTAGGGGTGTGTGTGTGTGTGCAGGGCGTCATCTGTAATGCCCAACCTGGTGAATGTTGGCTAATCGTCCTGTTCTCAGTTTCTCACATGTGCCGAATGAGTTGAAGAATCTTCGCTCACCTTCATTTAAGTTTGCATTGACCTCAAAGAAAGGGGATTTCTTTTTATAACCATCGGTTCTATTTCTGTTCACGTTTATTCATGAATAACTTGCATTTCTCTGGGGCTTCTAGAAATGTTCACTATCTGTTTTCTAGTTGCAAAAGTCTTACCGAAGCACAATATCATAAGTGTGTAGAGATGATCTAAAAGAAAACTTACTATTGTTCTTGATATATTGTCATATTAGGATCATGTTAATCCCACTTTTTTTGTTTTGTTTTTTTCATATCATTCTTGTTAAGTTTGAAATGACCATTTCTGGGTCAGGGTAAAGGCCTGGCCTGTCCATTTAGTTACCGAGGCATAAATAAAATGTAACTATGGTTTTTGAAATTTGTCTTGTGAGGATTTCTTCTCAATAGCAAATTAACTTTTAAAAGCTTTGATTTGGTGGAGCAAACAGAAGCAGACGATGTTTTTTCATCACCAACTAGAGTGTGAAGTTTTGTTTTTAATCACAAGTTGCTCTTGGTAAAATCTGATTAAGATTCATCTGGGGTTACATCAGCTAATCAGCTTGTAATTTGGAGTGTTGCCTTTCAACACTTTATTTTGAATTAAATCAGCTTTAAAAAAAAAAGGGTTTGGGGGAAACGAATGTGGCATTAAAGAAGAAATGGCTTAACTCTGTCAACCCTTCATTTGTGCCGCCGTTGAAATGCTGTAAGCCACAATGTTTCTGTTTTTTCGAGTCCATGCCTTTAAAATGTAATTACACTTTCAGTAGTTAAGTGACAAAAGGATGGATGGGGAATATCTTGCACTGCCAGTTTAAGTTTAATCAATATTGTCAATCAACCAGCAGTTGAACACTATGGGCGACAACTATTGGGTTTTTTCTTTAGATCTGCTGCCAACTGGTGCACATGTAGCAGTTATGTGATGCGTAACTTTCTTAATATTGGAACCCAAAAAATAATGTATTTGCCGCTCGCTGTGTGAGGCGTCGTGGGTCATCTGACGAGGAGAGCGGTCGTTTTGCCTTATAATTTTTTCATGATTTCCTTTAGCGGTGGACGCACACGTTTTTTTGTTGCCCATCAAAATTGAGAGCACATTTATTTTTTATCAGTTCACAGGAGAAGCCTCCACCGGTGGCTACACATGAATATACAAGCTTAAAATTTCACGCCAAGAATCTGTTATGTCTGATGAAGACTTTACTGTGTTTAAATGTGTGAAACATGACTTTTCCCTCCAGCGGTTTTTATTAACTGGTGTTGTACCTGCCGAGAAGACAAATTAATTAAGAAATAAAGAGTGAAGGTGTTCATTTCCTGCTGGCATTTGTGTCTTTGTCTACTCGACAGCCTGCAGCTCAAAGAACTGTAAAGAGGGTCAGGATACAGGAGAGCTGCCTGCCAGTGACAGAAATCCTGCAGGAGATGCTTGCTGCATCCTGGTAAGACTCCACAGGCAAAGTGCAGGGGGGTGGGGGTTGTGTGGGAGGCGTTAACACCGGCAGGAGTTCAGGCAAACTGAAAATCCTCACCCAAAAATGAGGGATTAACATGACTTTTCCTGCCATCTCGGGGGTCTTAATTGCTCAGTTTCTCATGTTGGCAGATTCTGAAATCCTGGCAACAGCATCGCTCTTCTCTGAATAAGGTTAAATCATTACGCGCCCTCTTCCCTCCTCGACATTACAATCAAAGATGACTGATCCCCCTCTTTTAACGCTCACCTTGGTTGCTGATATGCAGCCAGTTTTAGGTGGTATAACAAGCAGATGCTTCTATAATGGGATCTGTCCCAAACTTTCTGGTCTTTTTGAGATGCTGGGACACCCTTAGGGTAATTCCTGCAGGCAGCTTCTTGCATGTGAGGTATAACAGGGCCCTTCTTATGCAGGGAACCTCTGGAGTTTATTTTTAATAAACTTGTTTTCCTCCATATCTGTCAGTTAAATCTCGCCGTCTGCTGCCATGCACCCTTACACAAAGAGGAGGTAATTCCCTCCTAATCCTGTTATCGTAATATCAACTTCGACATAGATATTATAGTCCTTATTCACAATCCCCTGTGTGGCAAGCTGCGTTTTCTCATTGCATTATGAATGATCTCCAAAAATCAGCAGGTCAGAATTAATCTGCAGGTATAAGTAGCTGCTGGCTTTATTTCTTCAGTGCAGGTGTGCTGTTGACAGCCTGTGTGAAATCTGTTGGCTTTTTTTAAATTTACTGTCTTTTTTGCAGTAAATTTGTCATTTCTTGCAGTAAATACAGAATACAGTTTTTAAATTATGATTTAACTTATTAATGCATCAAATCTATCAAAACCTGTTACTATATGAAAACAAACAGCATCAACATCTACCATCAAGAGTTTATAATCAGTACTTAAAATCGCTCTGTAGCTAATTTTGTCCCTGATTGCAGAAATGTTTTAAATAGGTCTTATTAAAGGTTTTCATTGATTATTTAAGCTCATGCTATACCATTTGATTTGAGCTTTAACAAGGCCAATCTAAAATCTTTCTTTTGTTCTAACAGTATTTTGAGCCATTCAGTGTGGGATTTAATGCTGTGAGATGGATCATTACTGTGCTGCGTAGCCCAAATTGTCTTGAGCTTTAGGACATAAACTGATTGTTAATTTCCTTGAGCTCAAACTGTGGACCTTCTACTCCAGAGTTTTTATATAGGGATCAGTCATCCATGTCAGTGGTAGAAAACCATCACCACCATGTTTGATTGCTGGTATGAGGTTCTTGTTCTACAATGCTGTGTTAGCTATAACTTCCAAAAAGTTCAACTTTTGTCTCTAAGGTTCTTGGGCGATTCTTACAAACGTTCCAAGGATCATAATAATATTTTTTGGCAAATATAAGATAGGTCTTTTTTTCTGGTCAACAGGGGTTTTGGCCTTGAAACTCTTCCATCAATACCATAAATATCATAAAATGTATGATATTTATGGTATTAAATTATATCATTTATGACATAAATGATATAATTTAATCATAAGGGGTAGTGGTGGCCAAATGGTTAGGGCATTGCGCTTTGATTCCAGAGGTTATGAGTTGAAGCCCCACCCAAACAGACCGCCACTCTGGGTTTCTGAGCAAGACCCTTCACCCCCACCCTACTCGCTGAGTGCCGCACAATTGCAGCCCACTGCTCACCAAGGGGATGGGTTAAATGCAGAGAGTTATTTCGTTGCTCTCTCCTTGTGACAGTGTAATGACAAAGTTGAATTATATTCTATAAACGCTGGTTGAACTAAAACATGTGGGGCCTGCAGTAGCATGCAGTTATTTTAGTGAGAGTTAATTTAGACAGACTGGCCACTAACTGGAAGGTTCATCAATGCTGGATAACTGCTACCACTGGATTTTACTGGAACCTTAACCCCTTTACTTCCCTCCACCAGACTCAGGTGGATCTGATGTGGCAGTTGTCTCCAGATCGAAAGACAGGCTTGTTTCTAATTAAGGCCCAACATTTGCTACCTCTATAGAATCAGGCAATCACAAAGAAAACAACCATCAACTCAATTGCTTGCCCGCCATTCACTACAAACACCAATTGTCAGGATATGTGGGGGTTTGTTGAGGATCCAAGCAGCGGTAGTTGTTGTTGATTTATTTGAGGATGTGGCAACAGAAGTATAAATCCAGGAGTACACAGGCCATGAAATAAAAAAAGATTAATAAAGAAGGTAACATCCAGGAGGTCATGAAGACAAACAAGCAATGAGAAAGTGCAGAGAGGGAGTGTATATATACTGGGGAGGAGAATACTGAACAAAGAATGGAGTAATTGACTAACTGGGAGCAGGTGTGGATAGAAAGAGCTTGAAGGGAACTGAGGGAAAAGAGAGTGGCACCAGAGGTAAAAGAAAGCAACCAGGAAATGTCAATAAAAGGTCATATATGTAACTAGATGGAACAGATATGACAAAAAAAAATGAAAGGAGACAAACAATGAAACACAACATGACCAAGTGGAAATTAGTCTTTAGGGGAAGACTGGATAAACTTAGATAACTATAAAGACATGGAGAAAGATAATAAAAAACACAAAAACAATGAACTATGAAAAACTAGGGCAAAGACTAAATCACAAGAATAAGAATGAAGAGTTATACTACAAAGTAAAGAAAACATGATAAATCACTAGAAAAGAGTGCAGACTTCCACCAAGCCGCACATTTTGTGACTTACACCTATAACTAAAACTCTCTCTTGATTTGGATAATTACAAACTTTTAATTAATTATTTCTTGACATGAGGCGCACCTTTAGTATAATTTCTTTGAAATCCTTGAATAAGTTCATAAGTAAGGGACAACTTGAGTCTGCAGCCTTTGGTGTTTGTTCTGCTCTCTCCTTTGATTTGCAGATTGAGACTTTGAATGAGGCATGGCTCACCTTACCTTTTTTTATTCTTTGTCTTCATTATAATACCTACGGACTTTTTGAGTCCGATGCTGAAGCAGTCAATACTTACTGCTGCCACTATCTCGTTTAGAGGGGAACTGTTTGTTCTGCCAAAGAAGTTCCAGTATCTGGATCTTTATCCGGATCTCCACCAAACTCTTATGGTTATGGACTGATGGACAAACAATATCTTTAACCCTAAACCAAAAGAAATATTCAAAACCAGGCAGACTGTGAGTAAATAGGATTCAACACAGGATACTAAATGAAGACACAGAAAAATATAAACCTCCAACAGTAAAACATGGAAAAAACAAATGTCCAAAGCAGCAGACCATGGCACCAATAAATAATTAATATGTCATCAAATTAGATTTTATAATTTTCACTTCTTTCTCTGTTTTCACCTTCCTGCCTTCCTTCCACCTTGATATAAATGGGTTCATTTTGTCCGTAAAACTCCAGAGTAAAAATATTAGCCAATAGTATTTCCCCAGCAAATAAATATCAAAGCTGTTTTCTCTTTAATTAAAAAGTAAAAATAATGATATAAACACATATTGTGTTTGTAAATACTGATGTCTGACTATTTTTGATTATCTACATTAAGTGAGCTTATTCACTAATCTGTTTGCTCCCAATTTCGGGAGTACATTTAATTTCCAGTATCCAGAATACTTTGGAAAATTTAGAAAATTAAGAAAAGCCCTGATATTAAAATATAAAAATGTATTTTTCTATATTTTTTCAAAGGAAAAAATGTTTTGGAAATTTTTTTGAAGTTATATTCCTCAAATTGTGTAAAACATACCGTATGTACACACATCACCAGAAACTAGAAGATCTTAGTTTTCAAGTGGGATACATCACAAGCATTTGGGATTTCTAACATCGTTTTACTGGTCAATGGTATTTGGTTATGCAATACGTTTCTGCACAAGCTATAAAATGGTGGGTCTTAAAGGGTAATTGAACCCCTTTCCAGACTGTTATATATCAATATATGTGTTTCCTATGAGAGACCTTCATATTGTCTAAAAGACTCAAGTGACCTCTTTACTGGGGGTAGCTCTTATCAGGTCTAGGTGTGACAAGTGGAGATGAATTCAGAGTAAAAATGTTCAGGTTATTAGTGATGGAGGCCTCTATAGCTGTTTGACATAGGGTCAGGCTGCTTTGGCTAGATTTTTTCCTTTAAATCAAAACATCTTTCAGAAACTGAATTTTGAAGAAATGCAGTTTTTCTTTGTCTGAGGAAAAAATTAAGTACCACAAAATAAATTTAAAACTATAATTAATCTGATCTACATGAATTAGGCATTGCATTTTCCCTATTTTTTTAGATTTTGAAGAAAAGTTATCATTAATCATAGTCATTTTAAGTTCAGAACGTCTGGTCAAATTCAAATTACTCCATCCTAAAACAGCTACTTTGACCCCTGTAACCATTAATTTGTGGTTGGCTGGTTTATATTTCTGGATCTATACGGTGCTGAAATGAATATTTGATCTTGCTCTCCAGCTTGTTTCCGAATTTGCAGCCCTTCCCATCCGCGTGTCATATCAGTCACGTTTCGGGTGTAAATTTATCCTGTCAGATCTTGCAGTGCAATTAGAACGCCCAGCCGTTTGTCATTGATAAGGCTGCAGCGGCTCCTCTGGGCTCCACTTTACTTTCAGCTCATTAAGAAGATTAATTATTGTCATGCAGTCAAGTTTGATACTCCTAGAAGATGCTTTATTAGCCTTCGGATTTGGAGCTGACTGATTTGTTCTTCCGTTTGTTTAAAGTATGAATCCTGCATTCAGCTGTTTGATATTAAACCTGTCAGGAGGCCTGTTAAAGATAAGCCGTATCACTTCCCTGGAATGCAAGAGCTCAAACAAATACTGGAAGCACGGTAAATGCCATCAGATACAGAAAGTGCTGCAAATGAGGATTCTATCGCAACCTGTTCAGAAAAGCCCTTCCACTCTTTTTCACTAACCCAAGTCCTGTCTGATCAAACATGCCATATGCAAACAGATGGGATACAATGTTTTGCATTGTTTTAGCCTCATAACCCAATGCATTCAAGTAACATCACAGTTTGGAAACAAGAAACTGTTGTAATTCTTCAGCAGAACCCCAGATGATCCCAGACTTGAGTTTAACTAAATACTGAAGCACTTCAAATGATTACCACCCTCTATCTGCCACTGCTGTCTGATCAAATAATTAGAAAAATGTTAAGGATGAAATGCATTCAAAGAAGGTCATGGTAGTTCAGGAACAGAGCCATATGGAGGTCCATTTAGATCACAAAATAAGAAGCAGATTCACATATTTATTAACCCCTGCTGTGATGAAAGGGAGTATAAGGTCTGATTTGTGGGGGAACTCATTAGTAGACATTCAAACGGAAAAATGTGAACAGTGGATGAACGGAGAAAATCATTAATTGGTCCAGTCTGCAGGTTGCTCCACAATATTCACCTTGTAACCAATAATATAATGGTTTATCTTTTTGCATCTTAGAATATGTTTTATTCTGTAGGGCTGTGAAAAAGGAAGTTTAAAGTATTACCTAATTAGCAGGACTTTTTTGACGGCCAAACATCGAATCCTGCCTAGTTGGAGCATCTGAGTGGAGTGCCTGATTTTTAAACAATAGCAGATGGTCTCTGTGGGTGAGGAAAGTCTCCGGCTATTGTGTGTTTTTAACTTTAAATGTAATCTGAGAGTGTGTTAAAGCCAGGAAGTGGGTTTACCAACTTGAGGAGGGGGATTGCTGTTTTACCTGTCACAAATGAAAACAGCGCTACTTATTGATGTACTCTATCTGGAATAAGAACTTCAGATTAATTTTATTGTACAAATACTATAAAGATTATACTAAAAAAATCCCAGACAAAGACATTAGATTTTATCTTACTAGTGCTAAACCAAAGACCTCCTCATCTTTATGTTTGTCATGGATGTCCTTAAAACAAACTGAGTCTTGATGCATTAGTTTACTGACTGTTCAACTACTCTGCAACGTAAAGACTGAAGACAAATACACCAGAATTATTATAAGACACCAGAAGAATGAGCTGTTGATGGTAAGTTTCTGAAAAACTCAAGTGTTTTGAATTGTAATAGAAAATAAATTACTTAATTTCTGGACATGAAATTAAGTGAGGTGACTAGTGAATCATATTTATGGGCATTAGGTTCCATCATGATGTTTAAACTCTTTCTGTGTGGGTTTCAGATTATGCTTTCTTTAAATGATTATTATTTTGTTGGAAAACAGGTGGTATCACATAAATATGTAGCCATGATTCCTTTATTTACAGAAAAACTATTTTAGCTCTGAGGGCCTGAACACACAGTATGTATCTTAAAAGTATACAATATCCAGGTATTATAGAATTTCATAAGAATTTCATAGAATTTTACTAGAATTTCATAATTTCATATAGAATTTCATGAGAGAAACACATTTCAGGTCAGTAAAATCTTTCATTTAAAAAAACATTTGAAATGTCACTATGTTGCATGTACCATTTTTTCTTAATAGTTTATTTCTAATGAATATTTTAGAACAGGTTTATTGAAGAAGAGGTAAAGTTACAATTAAACTGTAAAACTGAGAAGAGTGAAAGGATCGGTTACAGCCCTCCGTTCCTCTTTCACTGCTCCTCTCCTGTGATCAGGCCACTGGAGAAACATCATTTTTTAACGGTTCTGCAAAGAAACTCATTTGGATTCTGCTAGAGTTGTGCATTAATTAGCTCCCAAATATAAATGCAAAATCATTACATAATGATATTTGATTTATACAACCCTACAGCCATATGTTTCATTAACTTCATATAGAAGTTTCTGAAAAATTGCTCTTCACTTCGTTGTTCTTCACGTTATTCACATCAGACCAAATTTTTTGATTAAGACTAATTATTTCATTATTTTTTAATGTCTTGGCTCAAGTAAAAAGTGGGGCAAATTCAAGCCGTGAAAATAATGGCAGATGAAAATTTTTTCTTTTTTTTTCTTTTAAGCTGAGAGACACTACAGATGAGAGCATTTGAAACAAAATGACGCTGACAGAGACAATGGATGCTTGGAGAAATGAATACGTAAATAAAAGCTGCTCTTCATCCTACTTCAGTATGAACTTACTGGTTTTCAAATATTTTTGCTCCATTCCTTAAAAGCTCTCTGTGTATGTATGTGGTTTTCCTACAAATCAAACTTTAACTCTGGCCTCAAATCTTTAACAGCCTATAAAAAAGCTTATTTTTTCCCCCAAGGTTGCCCTGTCTTAAGCTTCATCTGTCTGCCTATCACTGTCTCTGCTGAGGAAAAACCCACAGCATAGTTCTGCCACTATATTTCTCAATGTGAATTATGTTTAGAGTAATGTGTTGTTTGTTTTTTTTTCCTGCACAAGCATTATTTGACCATTAATGTTTGTTTTAGTAAACAAAGTACCGTATTTCTGGGCTTTGTTAAAACCCATTTTATGCTTCCCATGGGACAAACAGCAATCATTATGCCTTTCTTATAAACATACTTTGTGACATCTAAGCTGTGGATTTCTGCATCTACTTCTCTGTCTTTTGTTCTTGTTCTTGTTGCCTTTCTCTTTAGGTCCTTAATGCTGTGTAAAATGTTCAGAGAAAACATTTTATAGTCTAACCTCGCCTTTCATCACAGTAGCAGAGAGTGGAAAGAGTAAGAATAGAATAGAAAATCCTTTTATTGTCCCACAATGGGGTAACTCTGGTGTTACAGCAGCAAAAAAAAATATAGAAAAAATGGTCAAACAAATGTAGACCTTAGAAAAGTGTATAAAAATAACATAATAGTGAAGAGTTAAAAGATAAACAAATGAATGACTGTACTGTAAAGTGTTTTAACAGTATAAACGGTGCACCTGGAGAATAAATAACCAATATACAGCTATGGACATTTTGACATTAATGGATATTTGAAATCAGTGGCAAAATCAGAGATGTGCAAAATTACAGCAGCATGTTATTTAACTTACTAAGACAGAAATTGTGCAAAATCAGCATGAATGTAACAACTTATTGAGGTTGTTATGAACAGTGGTGGTTCTAGAGTCTTACAGCTGCAGGGAGGAAGGATCTGTGATAATGCTCCCTGGTGCATTTGGGGTGCAGCAGTCTGTCACTGAAGGAGCTCTCCAGTTCAGCAACAGCTTCATGCATGAGGTGGGAGACATTATCCAACAGAGATGTTCATTTAGTTAAGATGCAACATTAATTTAACCAATAAACATTAGGCTAGGCTGATTAGAAACCTACAGCACATGCTCAGTTAGCCCCTCATTTTTCTTCCAAAACACAACAACCACATCCCATCATTACTTCAAGGCAGAACTGAACATCAAGCTCAAAAAGAAATATTCTTATTGATCATATTTTATGTTATTGCATCCAAATCCTCTGTATGAAGACCTTAAAAGTTATACAGTGTAAATTAGCAGTTAGTAAGATTTAATCAAATATAGCTAGTTTTAAGACAGTTAGGATGACATATTGCAGCTGCCCAAAATAGTGAAGATGTGAAAAATAAATAAATGCAGTAGAGAATATTTTGAGATTGATTGATTGATTGATCTCACAGCGGAGAAATTTACTTGCATCAGCTCAAATAGTCAAAGAAGAAGAAGGTGTCAAAAGAAGAAAAGGTGCATGGGATATATACAGTATATACAATGCATCCACATATGACAGATTTTTATTTATTTATTTATTTTTCTTATAGTAGGATCGTTATACAGGGCTATTGCATGGGGTTTTTCCATGGGTATTTATATAGATGGTTATTTATATTTATAGATATAGTTACTGCACTGGTTGTCAAATATAGAGAGACAGGTTAGTGAAAACGGTATCAAATAGTAAACTGCCCATGATACAATGCACAATTTATTACTCTTGTAGTTGTAGAATCTGGTTTTTACAAACATGGTGTAAAAGTCAGGTGTTTAGTTAGTTAATGTCAAATTTATCTTTAAAGGCTTTACCCAAATTAAAGGATGTCTTTCATCTTCTCTTCTGTTTTTTCCAGTAACCCAGAAAAGGGTTATTGCAACATGATTTGTTAAGGTTTGTTTTTTATTTTCTTTTTTTGGAATTTATTAGGGAGTATCAAAATAATCAAAAGCCATGAGTAATTCCCATTAATAAAATTCAAGCTCTACATTGTGATTAGGGTGTCACTTAAAATACAAACAAAATTACACAAAAAAGTGAGAACATGTGGATGTATAGTTGTGTGATGCTTTTGGCTTAAACGCACGATTAGCTGCTGTGCTTAAAGTAAACAGCAGGTGTCGCTGTATTCGGGTAAACACGTCACGAAGTTAGGAGGTCTCGTTCTCGCGGTATCTGAGCTCCAGCACCCCGGCGGCTATATTCTGGGAGGAGATGGCGGCCAGAGGGGGGTTTCAGTCAGCACCGTCTGCTGGTGGTGGTGGAGCAATGGGACCTGGGCCACCGGTACCGGGTGCAGCGCCAGGTATGGGACCCGGGACTCCCTCTGGAAGAATGGGACCGACGTCAGGCGCACAGAACCACATGTACCGCTCTCCGATGCCCGGGCCTGGGTACCCGGTAAGTTATCGCTCCATCAGTCCGCTAGAACAAAGCCGCTCACCGCTGCTTTGTCACTAAGTGGCTAACGTTAGACTCCGACATAGTGGGCTGCAAAGTTCCCTCTAACTGAAAGACGTAACCAAGCGAGAAGTTGGTTAATTGCCAGACTTTAAGTCGCAGTCAGAGCTTTCAGTTTGAATTTGTTCTCCCTGCAGTTCGCTAACATTAAAGTTAGCTTAGTCCCAGTTTAGCTTAGCATGCTAACGCTGCTAACTGTCTCGGTCCCTTTTTTTCATTCTCGCCCGGTATATTTGGCACAACGAAGTTTTCCAAGTAGTTTAAAAGGCATGTGTTTTGTAGTAGCATTTTGTTTTTAAACATTTTGCATTGATGAGATTCAGCTTTTGTGCTAAACCTATATAGGTTATTATGCTCAGACTGGTTTTGTTTAAAAAGCTTTTGCTAACAGACCCCAAAAGTTCGCGCGAGGATCAAACTAGCATTGAATAAAAAGTCCAAAACTTTCAGTTTTTGATTGAACTACTGTGACATTTGAGATGCTCTCTTGTTCATTTTTTAAAAACGTGGGGAGTTCAGTTTTAGGGAGCCGTGGACAGTGTTGGGAAAGTTCTCTTTCTACGTGAACTAGTTCAAAGTTCAGTTCACACATTTTAAAATGAACTAGTTCAGTTCATAGTTCATAATTCAAAAAAATGAACTAGTTCAGTTCTTTCTTTTTTTTTTCATATATTGCTCAATTACACCATAGCCTACTGTAGAACCACAGACGGCAATTACTTTATCAGTTGTAACTCTGAAACTGTGCGTCAGATTTCATCTTCATATCCAGTTTTGAATCCTTATCCAACCAGGGTTTACATTAGCATTGAGGGGACAGCATTTCCCCATTGTTGCTTTAACGCTTTGTTGCTGTCCATTCACTTCACACTTGTAGCAGCTGCAGCTTTCACTCCTACAGTACATTCTCAAAAACATCAGGAAAAATGTGCTGCTTGAATGGTATTTTTTATGAGGAATTATTAAAAGAAAAACAGGAAAGTAGTCTTTAAGGTGCAAATGTTTTTTTAATATCTTTAAAAAGGAATACTGGAATCCTGGAAAATTATACCAGGCAGGTTTAACAAACAAGTTACAAAAATAGTAAAACCCTCAAGAACATTTAACTAACAAAAACTGAGGGACCAGGCTGAGGTAGGAATTAAAGGTTGAACTTGAAAGTGCAATATTCAAAGTGCAAAACATTTAAACATTATCAAGCCACTTTTCAATTTTTTGGCCATTGAATAAGTAAAATAAAAAAAAAAAATAACTTAAAAGACTCAGAGTCTGGTTCCAAGGCCATGGACTGTGCTTCTACTTTCTGTCCAGTGAGTGAAAATAACTTATAACTTAACTGACTCATTCACTTAACTGAATGATTATCTGTCACTGGTTACAGTCCACATAAATAACTAAAATAATACTAATAAATGAAAAGTATGCAGGGCCAAGGACAGTGTTATTTTCTGTCCAGCCCAAAAATCCCTTATCTGAATGAAGATCCTCGGTCACAGTGGTCTCTCCCTGGTAGATCTGCTGTTTTTTCTTCCTGTAAACAAGATATGCCCTGTTATTTTCATGCAGTTCACCTCTGCACATCAATATAGTCATCTCCATTGGCAATACATTGTACTTCTACAGCCCAATAAACAGATCACAATAATATTTAATATACCTTCAAATCTTTTTGTTGGCATTCAAGATCAGCTGCTTCTCAAAGTTGGCATCTCCCAGGCGGTTTCTCCTCGGTCTGAATGAGATAACAAGAAATTTGAACATCATGATTATTATGGCAAAAATGGTAACACTTAATCTGTATTAAAGCAATTGTGAACTAACACAATCACTGACATAATTTGACCTAATTTGTATAGCCTATTAAAAACCTGAATTAGAATAATATCACCAAGAACTATTATTGAGGCTGGGTATTTACTGTGCTTATTACCAAAGAATACTAATTATGTAATATAATCACACTTTATTCTTACCTGAATATTAGACCACCGATGCTAAAGAGCCTCTCTACTGGAGCGCTTGAGGGCAGGGCAGTGTTGTGTTTTATGAACAGCCTTCTGAGCTTTGGAAACTGCATGAATTCATCAAACCCATCTGTGGTTGGAGCATCCAAATAGGTGTCCACTTCAGATTTTTTTAAAGCCTCAGGATTTTTGTTAAATCTGAAGAATGATGCTGCAGGATCTTTCTTGTCACTTTTACCACTGGACTGGGCTTGACCTGAGTCTCTTGCAGCTGAGTCATCAGAGTTGAGGGTTTGAAATTCTCTTTTCAGCATCAATCTGTACTGCTTACTTTTTTCCTCATCGTGGACCCAGTCTAGCTTGAATCTTGGCACCAGCATAGCAGAGAGTATGTGGTCCCTCTTCTCCAGAAGACCTGCCAGCCTTGTGCTCAGTGACTCCAAGATACTCTTTATGAGGGGTCGGCATGTAATGAGACCATCTGCTGCAGTGGGCTTTTTGCTCTCATCCAACAGGTCATTCATATCACATTGCAGCTGCACAATGGTTGGAGCCAGGTAGCCAAGAAAGATGTTTTTCTCTGCTTGGAGGGTGTTAAGTGCAAGTGCTAATGGCCTCATCACATCCACAAACTTGTGTATGAAGTTGACTTCCTGTGGAGAGAATCGGCGAAAGCCAAACTCATCACTCACAGTGTGCAAAATTAGCTCATCATGTAGGGGAGTGGCATCATTTTCAGGGGTTACCTCAGCCACATTCATTTCTACCTTGGAAGTTAGTATGCTATGCGAGATACTCGCTCCATGGCAAGAAATACTGAATTCCATCTTGTGTCATTTGGCACAACAAAGCCAATCCCAAGCTTTTCCTCCACAACATCAGAAGCCTTTGTACTACGCTTAACCAGGTTCCACAGAGCAGATGCTTTTGCAAAAACAGCCCTCGACATTGTTTTGTAGCGTTTTTCAGTTACTTTTTCCGAACCTTTGGCCACTAGATTCAAGGTGTGGGCCATGCACCTTCTGTGTGGGGGGAGAGAGGGATGATGCAGATCTGAGAGAGGCTCAGGCTCCATCTGCTCATCCTCATCTGAGCTTTCATTGGCAGCAGAAAAGGCTGATACTGGTTCACTGTCATCTTCACTTTCAGTTTCAACTGTCTCTGGCGCTTTAGCATCAATAACAATATCCATCCCAAAACAGTTGAACGCTTTGACAAAATTTGCAGCATTGTCTGTTACTGTACACACAACCTTGTTGTGGATTTTGAATTCTTTATTAACATCTGACAATAATCTTGCCAACACATCATGTGTATGTGCTCCTTTAATCCGACGAAATGCCATTGCTGCAGAGTGTCTCTTAGACACGTCAGTTTTGTTTAGCCAGTGGATAGTGATTCCCATAAATGCCTTGTTCACAGCTGACCAGCAATCTGCTGTTGTGCACACAGCATCGATCTCAGACAGTTCACTTTTAAGTTCAGATATTTTTTCTGTAAATTTTTTATTTAACAGTGTTTGTACTTGTTTTCTTGATGGCACCTGTCTGGATGGCTGCAACCCCTTAATTAAGTTTATAAACGCTGGGCTTTCCACTTTGCTCAAAGGCTGCAGGTCTCCAACAATAAACTGCACCACCAGGTTGTTCACCTGCGGCTGGGAGATGACAACGGAGCCGCTAGTGTACGCAGTTATTGGTATTTGGCTCGAGGATCTGTCCTGACTGTCTTTTGTTTTTTTAGCTGCTTGCACATACCTTGAGAGGCTAGCCGGGTGCTTTAGTTCTATATGCCGTTTCAGATTTGCTTTGGATGTTACCGAAGTACGGATTTTTCTACTGAAAGCCGGCGGGCAAAGTTTGCAGAGAAATGTTAGATTGTTTCCATCGTCCTCACCGACCAGCTGACCATAAAATTGTTTTAAACTATCATACTGCTGCTTTGTCGCATCCACGGTCGCCTGAGCCTCCATGCTTCTGTGGCTTGTACGCTGCATTTTGTTTTGATGACGCACGCGGCTAGCTGGTGTTGCCAGATTGGGTGTTTTCCCCGCTACATATTAAGGCCTGTTTACGGTGTGATTTAGCCGGGGTTTCGCCTGGGGGACTCTATAGAAATCTGGCAACCTATATAACGGAGTTGAACTGAGAGAGCGTGCCGTTCACAGACACCAGAATGAACGCGTTCACAATAACGTTCACCAGGCAATAATACAGTACGTTCAGTTCACGTTCGCCCAAAATATGAACGAGTTCATGAACTTTCGTTCAATGAACGCGTTCAGGCACAACACTGGCCGTGGAATAGTTGTTTTATTATAGTTTTCTTTAGACTGTGTGTTGGTCAGTAAAGTAAAGCAAACTCAGGCGATATCCTGAGAGGAATCTGCTATAATTATAACTTTAAATATGTGTTTTATAGGCCTAATCATAAAAGTTTGGTGATTTATTTTGATTATTTAAGTGACGTTTTCTGACCTGGATATATAAGATGTATATTAAATATAAATGTTGAAGTTCTTCATTGGAAAAACGTTCGCAGCCGTGTATGTTAAATTATATAGTTTTGCAGATACAAACAATGATAAATTATGAAAAACCAAAAAATACAAATCTGGAACTGTTTAGTTTGGGCGAATTTGAAACCCAAGAACAAAAAATATAGCAAAGTGATGGTTATAGAGTCTAGCAGCTGCTGAAAGGAAGCATCAGAGATAACACTCCTTTGAGCATTTGGGATGCAGAGGTCTGTCACTGAAGCTCTACAACAGCTTTATGCATGGGATTAAGTCAAGTTGAGCCACGAGCTTTGTGAAGGAAATATGTTAGTAGCTGGCATTTCCTCATATCTTTCAATAAAGGCCATATTATTTATCAACACTCTAAATTGAAAACAACCATTTGTCCTGCTGGGGAAGCTTCTAACTCATCCAGGTCATAGTCCTTCCAAAAAAAAAAACAATCCACTGGACTTTGTTTTCAGGTTTCCAGGAAGTTTTTTCAATTAAGAATGTCAGGAATAGCGTTGAGTTTGATGTTACAATGCAGCTATTGAGTTAATTCCTTCACATTATCATCAATAGGATCTCTTCTATGCAGCCAATCCAACACTTTAACCACGACCTTTGAGACACTTAGGCTACGTTCACACTGCAGGCTTTGATGCTCAATTCTTCTTTGTTTTTCTCTTTGCGTTGCCGTTCACATTTCCAAATATATGCAACTTGTATGTGATCTCCTTTGTGAACTACAGTCATACAACGTAAGTGTTTCGCACGCGCAGTAGAGGACACAATTACATCATAGGCCAGCGTGCTCTGTGTTTACGGAAGTAAACATGGATGGTAGTGCCGGAGCGATCTTTCCCAACCATGAACAAACAATCTTTTCAAGGTTAAACATAAATACTGCTCTCTGCATCATCGTCTGCCATGGTCATTGTTTTTCTTGCTGTTTGTTTGTTTACCTTTGTCGGGTATCAATGGCGTTTAGGTCAGGTGAATGCCACCTGGCCGTTCAGACTCGGGTTGCATTTGAAATGATCAGATTTGTATCAGATTCAGGACCACATAGCCAAGCTGCCTGGGTTGCATTGGGAAAAAAAAAATAGATCTGTGTGGTTCAGACAGCCATGAAAAGATCAGATCCAGGTTGCATATGGGCCAAAAAATCGGATTTGGGTCACTTCAGGCTGCTGTGTGAACGTAGCCTCAGATGGGTATTGGGGTATTGCAGTCTAACAAAAAAAGCCAAATGACCCCCATTCCAAATAGGCCGACCCCTTTATCTGTTCCAATTTTCATGTTTTCAAAACAAAAACAAGGTTTTGTTGGGCTACTGTATAAAACCTTGATCTCAGCACTATTCCTGACATTTTGAATGGAAAAAGCTTCCTGGATGGGAAGCGAAATGTCTTCAAACTTGCAAACCAAGTCGAGTGGATTTTTTTTATTTTTTTTTAATCCTTTGTCCTCTACCTGTTTTTCCCAAAACGTATATAATAGAATTTATTTTAGAGGTTTTGTTTTGCACAAAGTATTTAGATCAGGGGTTTCCATCTCCAGTCTTTTAGAACTGCCTAAACACAGCTGAATCAATATATTTGATATCAAGTTTGGTAGAGGTCTGATAACTAGATGCTCACTTGGTACAGGGTTAGCAGGTCAGGGAGGCCTCTGGCTGTGTCCTAACGTCCACCCTAACCCCTAAATCCCTCAATCACTATATAGACCGGGGATTATACAGTGGAATTTATAATGAACTCCACTAACTTACCATTCGGACAGATTGTTACTACTTTTCTCTCCCCATTGGTCACGTTGCTCCACTTCTGACAGGCAATGCCTGCGCCATATTTATTAGTCGCTGCTGTAGGGTATCGACAACCATAGGCGACACCGGGCTGCTGTAGGAGCAAATCCTATAATGCTTTGCGAGGAGAGATCTCTGCGCAAAGCGTTCCGTGATATATCTCCTCGTCTAGTCACAATGGATGATCAGTGCCTTTCAAGGTGCATTTTGGGAAAGTTCAAGCCCACTACTTTTTCATCCACTAGACATTCAGACACTTATCTAAAATGGCATAATCACACATAGTGCCCTGTATAGTGATTTGGGGCTGACATTCAGACAAGGCCTCTGTAACCTGACGGACAGCAGTTGGAGTACTGGAGTCTAAGACTCCTGGCATAAACAGTTTTCACATAGACAGTTCATATGCCTGCAGCCAATTCACCCTGTTGCTTTATTTTTAACCGATGTGTTGCCTTTTTTATTTGTAATCAAATCGTTAGCAACAAATTTACTGATAAGTATAGGTGCTGGTCATAAAATTAGAATATCATGAAAAAGTAGATTGATTTCAGTAATTCCATTTAAAAAGTGAAACTTGTATATTATATTCATACATTACATACAAACTCATATATTTCAGATGTTTATTTTGTTTAATTTTGATGATTACAAATGACAACAAATGAAAATCTCAAATTCATCATATCAGAAAATTAGAATATTGTGAAAAGGTTCAAAATTGATGGCCCCTGGTGCCACACTCTAATCAGCTAATTAACTCAAACCACCTGCAAAAGCCTTTAAATGGTCTTTCAGTCTAGTTCTATAGGCTACACAATCATGGGGAAGACTGCTGACTTGACAGTTGTCCAAAAGACGACCATCGACACCTTGCACAAGGAGGGCAAGACACAAAAGGTCATCGCTAAAGAGGCTGGCTGTTCACAGAGCTCAGTGTCCAAGCACATTAATAGAGAGGCGAAGGGAAGGAAAAGATGTGGTCGAAAAAAGTGTACAAGCAAGAGAGATAACCGCACCCTGGAGAGGATTGTGAAACAAAACCCATTCAAAAATGTGGGGGAGATTCACAAAGAGTGGACTGCAGCTGGAGTGAGTGCTTCAAGAACCACCACACACAGACGTATGAAAGACATGGGTTTCTGCTGTCTCATTCCTTGTGTCAAGCCACTCTTGAACCACAGACAGCGTCAGAAGCGTCTTGCCTGGGCTAAAGAGAAACAGGACTGGACTGCTGGTGAGTGGTCCAAAGTCATGTTCTCTGATGAAAGTAAATTTTGCATTTCCTTTGGAAATCAAGGTCCCAGAGTCTGCAGGAAAAGAAGAGAGGCACTTCATCCACGTTGCTTGAAGTCCAGTGTAAAGTTTCCACAGTCAGTGATGGTTTGGGGTGCCATGTCATCTGCTGGTGTTGGTCCATTGTGTTTTCTGAGGTCCAGGGTCAACGCAGCCACATACCAGGAAGTTTTAGAGCACTTCATGCTTCCTGCAGCTGACCAACTTTTTGGAGATGCAGATTTCATTTTCCAACAGGACTTGGCACCTGCACACAGTGCCAAAGCTACCAGTACCTGGTTGAAGGACCATGGTATCCCTGTTCTTAATTGGCCAGCAAACTCTCCTGACCTTAACCCCATAGAAAATCTATGGGGTATTGTGAAGAAGAAGATGCAATACACCAGACCCAACAATTCAGAAGAGCTAAAAGCCACTATTAGAGCAACCTGGGCTATCATAACACCTGAGCAGTGCCACAGACTGATCGACTCCATGCCACGCCGCATTGCTGCAGTAATACAGGCCAAAGGAGGCCCAACTAAATACTGAGTGCTGTACATGCTCATACTTTTCATGTTCATACTTTTCAGTTGGCCAACATTTCTATAAATCCTTTGTTTTTATTGGTCTTCAGTAATATTCTAATTTTCTGATATGATGAATTTGAGATTTTCATTTGTTATTTGTAATCATCAAAATTAAACAAAATAAACATCTGAAATATATGAGTTTGTATGTAATGTATGAATATAATATACAAGTTTCACTTTTTAAATGGAATTACTGAAATCAATCTACTTTTTCATGATATTCTAATTTTATGACCAGCACCTGTATGTTTTCTCAATACTATTTTAAACAGATAACCAGTAGATGTTTATTATTTACTTTATATTCAAAACAAAAATGCTGAAACAAAATGTTCCAGTGGCAGGTTTTTGTTGAAGAATGGCCGAAATGAAACACCTTACTGATGGTTGATCAATGTACTGATTATACAAACTTAACTATAATTAAATGACTTAAGTATTTATTTTTTTTAGAGATAAACGTAAATAAATATGGAAATATATGATTAATTGAAAAAAAAAAGTTTTAGTTGGTAAAAAAAAAAGGCTATAGTAAAATGATCACTCAATGTATGGCAGAACTTCAAAATATGTAAGTCATCTTTTCAAAAGCTCAACTGTGCAATAGAATAGATGGCTTATTTTCTCTCATCATATTACCTTTATGAGAGTCTGTTTAAAAGTAAATTAATAGGAAGCATGTTTTTATCTATAAACTGGTAATACACATGTTGCCTGTTTGTGTAGTACAAGTGATTTGTTATAAATCAACAGTTGTTTTGTTTTATTTTATTTTTTTCTAGATGTGCCCAACATGTTCTTCTTGTACAGCGTTTCAAATCTTCCCCTCTCGATATCTTGGCTTCTATTTTATAGGTTTGTTTCGTTCCAAGGGGCTGTGATAGTGTTGGGGCTTGTCGTCCAAAGCAATATTGCTGCTTGATACGGTGAAAATAGCCATGATTGAAAAGATAAATCCGTTATCACAGGTTTGCAGAGGCTACAGCGTATAAGAGTACTGCCAGTGTGCAGCACAATTCAGAGAAAAAGATGCTGGGTCTTTTTTTTTTTTCTCCACTGTCCTTGGCTGCTTTCACTCACACAGGCAGACTTTCACAACACAGTCAAAAAAAAAAAAGATTTCTTGTTCTGAATGCTGCACATCCCTAGTTGTTCTCAGGCAAGGTCATACTGATGCACAGCGTAAAAAGCACTAAATGAAAGCCACAAATTCTCCCCCTGCCTACTTATACAAGTTGTGTGGAAAAGGCAGAGCCTGTATTGTTGAGGTCGGTCTTTTTTTTCCTCCCAGCAAGGCTTGAGGAAGGTGTGTTTTAAACTGTTCCGTTTGTTGGATGTGCTGCTGGGGGAAAAAGCTGCAATCAGTGGCTCGTGGTTTATCTACTCCCCTCGCCTGCTCTCATGCAGTCAAATACAAGAAGTCGTCTGTTTGAGTTTCTAGCACATGGCTTGGTGAGTGAACTGAGGTTTCTACTCTATATTTGCCTGTCAGCCAGGCATGAAAAGAATTTGATCGTCTGCAGAAACGGATATACATCAAATTATATCTTCTTATTAATGGTGGTTCTTCATTTTGAGTTTATTTTTTTCTGTTAATTGAACTCAAATATAATTTTAACCGTGAATGCATTTTTTAGATGTCAACATCTTTGCAGTAATGTTGGGAGCGACGCAGGGCTTTGATTGTTGAAATATGCTGTTACTCACTTCATTACACGAGTCATTCGTTTAAAGGGAATTAATTTTGAAGTTTGATTGAATTTGGTCCTCAAATATTAAGCTTCTAGGCAATAATGTTTTATATATTGATTGAAATTTGCAGGATATTTACTTTCTATGTGGGGCGTTGAGATTGTAGGTCCTTTTATTTTGATATTCTAACATTACAGTGTAGAGAATCCACATCATCAAGATGCTGCAGCTGGAGCTAAAAAGGTGAAGTATTTTTGTAACTGGTTGTTTAAATGCCAGTTTTTCTGTTTTATAACTCCAAATTTTAAACCTTTTAAATATTTTTCATTGACGTGGAGGATAAAAAAGTAGATTTTCCGCAGAGCTAGATGGTGGCATTAGGCTTATGTTATTCTGTGTGCAAAAACCTTACCATAAAGAGAGATAGTTTAGTTTATTTTATTTTGAAGTTTGCTTTTCTCTTTTGCGTTTTGCTATTAGCTGCAGAAAATGGTTCATTGTGTTTGATGGGAAGTATTTTTTTAGGACAGCAAAATACACCTATTGGTTTGACTAAAGTTAGCAATTTTGGCTTTAATTTTCAGTCTATGCTGCAGTGGTTTGTGGCGATTCTTGCTCCTTGTATTACTAGCCTGACTATAGGTCAGTAAATGTGGTTAAAAAAACCTGGTTAAACTAGTTAATCAGGTTAAACACCTCTCAGTGTTTAGATATTCTGAAATCTTTTGAGAGCCAATTTAGATTTGACCAAATGAGAATAAGCACTTTGTTTATTTTTCGTCTGCGCTGGCATGATTATATATATATATATATATATATATATATATATATATATATATATATACATATATATACATATATATATACACACACACACACATATATATATATATACACACACACACAACAGTTATTGATGTTGACAAACTGCAAACCTTCTTTGCAATCATTATTTGAGGTCTTTAGGCAGTTTTTGAAATTGAATTACATTTTTTGCTCTCCCTGCAGAGACCAGGCATGCCTCCATCCAGCCGTATGACCCCGCAGGGCCCCGCCATGGGCCCACCGGGGTACGGCGGCAGCCCCGTGTCTCGCCCTGGGATGCCCGGCGTCATGGACCCGTCTCGAAAGAGACCGGCCCCTCAGCAGATTCAGCAGGTTCAGCAACAGCAGAACCGTAACCAGCAGTGAGTAGCTCGTCCCATGTCAGCTCTGTAGGAAAGATATTTATATATATATAGAATTGAATTGGAGATTTAATTGGGTTCATTAAAGCATTACACTCTTAAAAGTGTGCAGAAGCAAAAGTAAAATTAGAAAAGTGTAACAAAGAAGCAGATGTACATTCAATCACTTTTTCTAACAACGGCTGATAATCCTTTTCCATCAGACAGACACACCCTGTTAATGAAAGAGGTGTCAAATATGAAACACAGAATGGAGGTCTGTCTGAAACTAGATCTAAACGGAAGTTAAAAGACAGAAAACTCTTCCTCAAAGTTTGTAGAAACGTCCAATTTGGAGGTGTTGGACTTTTAAAGGGTCCAGTTACACTGCTCTTTAGTTTGGGGTACTTGTGTTTATGTGACCCACACAGATACCAAATGTTAAAAAAGTATTTTCTGAGGCTTTATGATCAGAGATGTTTCATTCAGACTGGATTGTACTTTTTAAGTCATCATCTTCTCTTTTTTTGCAGCACAAAGAAGAAGAAGATGGCTGATAAAATTCTACCTCAAAGGGTGAGTATTCAACTGCTGTTGATGAGGAATTTAATACATCTGGAAAGATGAACCAAATCTTTACTTTCTGTGCATGTTTGTAAAAGAGGATATTATTGGTCTGTTTCATTCTTTATATTCTAACAAATTATTCACTCCTTTTGAATTATGGGAGAAGGTATATTCTTTTTTTTTTATTGACATCTATCTTTAGTTGGGACATTAAATGTTTGATGAAACAACAAAAAAAAAAAAGCTCCAGATTTTTTTTTTTTTTATTATTTCCAAAATGGAGTTACAATTGTCTTATTGAAGTATTTGTAACTTTTTTTTTTTTGTAATGCCTATTTTGGTTCTTTAGAGCAAATTCATGTCTTCTCTCAGCCTTTTAAATGTTGTTTGTTTACCAGTAGTGATAGATTTTGAGATGTAGTTATTCATATTGAAATTAAAGGGTTAGAGAGAGAAGTCCAATTGATTACAGCACATTTGTAAACAATCATCACTTTAAGCCTGCGTATGATCTGATTACGTTTTGGTATTTGTTCTGTTAACTTCTTGTAACATGTTCTTTTGGTGCTCTTGCTTATTTTTGCGTGTTTGGTCTCAGATACGAGAACTCGTCCCAGAGTCTCAAGCTTACATGGATCTTCTGGCTTTTGAGAGGAAGCTGGATCAGACCATCATGCGCAAAAGGCTCGACATCCAGGAGGCCCTTAAAAGGCCCATAAAGGTATTTTCTGTTTATATTTACTAAGATCTCTAATGATCTAAGCTAGTTGTCGGCAACCCAAACTGCTCAAAGAGCCATGTTGGACCAAAAAAAAACAAAAATAAACCTGTCTGGAGCCGCAAAAATGTAAACGTCTTATATAAGCCTTGTTTGGCAGCAAAGGCTCTACGTATTCAACCACAAAAAAAGGACTATGTAGGGTTCATCCTGAAACAAATGTCACATAGCAGCATGAGGTGAGGGAAGAGCAGTGAACGCTCTCACCACGCACCACTTTGCCGCCCTTCACCACACGGTTTATGTTTTGTTGCATCGATGAAATAAAATAAACACGATAAAGGAATCTTTCTATGGTGGACATGTTTCTTTTGGGAGGAATTGAAGAACTGAGTAGGAACTGACATTCATCAGAGCAGAGCTCTCTAACCCAGAGATCCCACATCTTCAGTCACCATCGTTCCTTGGTGATATTTATATTTTGAGGATTTGGGAAAAAACTTGGAAAAAAAATCAAATACCTGCATCAGAGCGCTACCTGTTTTATCTGGATGGTTTTTTGTGCTTGAAACAGAACTAGCAGCAGTAGTGGAGTTTGGAGATGCAATCCACTTCTCAAATCTATATTTGCTCTACTCTAATTTATCCAGAAGTTCTTCAATCGCATTCTTTCTCCCACTCACAACTTTGTGATCGGCTGCATATTTAGCCTTCCCTGGAAATGCCTTTCCAAATTACTATTTTTATTATTTGACATATTCTCGTGCCAAAGCAAAAATGCAGGCAATCCTTCCTCATTGATAATGAAAAATAAATGATTTGGTCCATTCTTCTTTGAATCCTCTGTTCTCATCAGGTATCTCTTTTTTTTCCTCTTTGGGATCCATAGCCCAAGACAAACCCACCGCTTTCTTCTTCTGGCGCTGCGAAGCGCTGAGACATGTGTTGCAGGCTTTGACCACTGATCTCTATGGCTATGACGCATACTTTCTTTGAAATAAACGTTTACATATATTGTTTAAATGTATTTATTATACCAATGTTTACAGCATTGGAAAACATAATGAGGTTCTGTCTGACCTCCTGCATACCATATTAAAATAAACAAACCAAAACAATCAACTTTTTATACATTTTTGAAAAAGCTCAAGGGAGCCCCAAGGGGGGCGCTAAAGAGCCGCATGCAGCTTGCCAACCCCTGATCTAAACGCTTTAATCTCTTGATAATCTACATGCTGCTTTGACTCAGTCAGCTAATGGTTTCACTTAATGATTGTGATCATTCCTGCTAATGGAGGCAGGTTTTATTATGATCTTCTGGTGGAAGCAGGTTTGACGCCAGTACCATTATAAAGCTGTCAAACCTGCCTTAGAGACGTAAACACTCAGCGACCTATTTTTCTTTCTCTGTTTTCTGCTGATCATTGAAAGGATTTAGCTTTAAATGAAGATGAATCTTAATTTGTTGAAACTAGAAAATAGGTTTGCAGACATAAAGTTAACGTCTGGTTGGTTCTTTACAGCAAAAGAGGAAGCTCCGGATTTTTATATCCAACACCTTCAACCCTGCAAAGCCGGATGCTGAGGACGGAGAGGGCACAGTTGCATCATGGGAGCTACGAGTTGAAGGGCGGCTATTGGAAGATGTACGTCGTTGTACCATCATGCTTACATCACACTTTGATTGTAGCTTAATACTGGCACCAGTTCGAGGATGTAAAGGATTAATATGTGAATTATTATTCTTATTATTTCGTCCTGCCTGCAGACTGCTGTGTCCAAATATGAAGCTACCAAGCAGAAAAGAAAGTTCTCCTCCTTTTTCAAATCTCTTGTGATTGAATTGGACAAAGATCTGTATGGACCAGACAACCACCTCGTTGAAGTAAGAAAGTTTCTTTCATTTATTGAATCCTCCATTAATATTTCTTTAGATTTTTTTATGATTTTTAAAACATCTTTAGTAATTTTACTAAATACACGATGTGTATAAATCTTCCGTTTATTATCTCAGTGGCACAGGACTCCAACCACCCAGGAGACGGATGGTTTCCAGGTGAAGAGGCCCGGCGATGTGGGAGTTCGATGCACCGTCCTGCTCATGCTTGACTACCAGGTAAACTTTAGGAATGTGGTTATGCTTTTATAGGTGTTTTAAGTTTAATAATCTACTCCTCGGAAGCTTTGGTGTATTTAACAGATGCCATGTTCCTTTTACTGTACATGACTTTTCATCGTTGTTTCAGCCCCCTCAGTTCAAGCTGGACCCCCGACTGGCCCGCATGTTGGGCATCCACACTCAGACCAGACCTGTCATCATTCAGGCCTTGTGGCAGTACGTCAAAACACACAAACTTCAAGATCCACATGAGCGCGAGTTCATTAACTGCGACAAATACCTCCAGCAAGTAAGTAGATAGTTTTACGCAAGTAATCTGCTTTTAATGTTTCCATTAAGACCTTTATTCATGATCAGCATAAAGTACAGCAGGTCGACTGTCTCAGTGGCTCTGGTCCATTTCTCCTCCTTGTTTACAGGGTGTCTCTCCTTCAGTGTCCTTGTATGGCTGTAGCTCTAGTCTGTCTGTCTGGTTTTCCTGGAATGTGTCCCGAACTTCTTTGCCAAAATAAAGGGGGCTGCAAAATTTTCATTTAATATTTTCATGTAAAAGAAAATTGTTTTGATCAACTTTTGTTGCAACTAAATGATATAATTTCAAGAAAAAAATTAAACACTAAGAATGGTTGACATGATTAAAAAATTTTCCTTATTTGAGGAAAAAACTTGAAGATTATTATTGAAGTAAACAGATATTTGCTTCAAACTTTTGTTCCACTAAACAGTTTCTATGATCTTAGAAGTAATACAATAACTGAAGTTTTTTTTTTTTTTCTCTTCAGATTTTTGAAACTCAGAGGATGAAGTTTTCTGAAATCCCACAGCGCTTGCATGCTCTGCTGATGCCTCCAGAACCAATCATCATCAACCATGTGATCAGGTATGTAGAGCTGCACTTAAACTACCACTAAAAAATTCTGGGCTGGTTTCCCTGCTGCTGTTTGTTTTAAATGTGAGATTATGAGTCAAACAAACAAATATTCCTCCTCTGTTTCTCCTTTGTCTAAAACTAAAATATTTCACAGCAGTTAAAATAGGGGGGTTAAAAAATTCCTGTGTTTTCAAAAAGAAATACAAGTTAAATCTGTTCGATAAATTGTCTGGAAGGGTTGGTTACACTATGTAAAACAACACAGACCTAACTTTTTATGAGCTTCATGTGAGCCCTTGGAGGTAAGATATTCAGTGAAATAAGCAACAAACCATAGCATATATATATATATATATATTCACTGAAAAAAAATAAATATATACATATATATATAAAAATATAATTTTTTTTTATCTTTTGTCAGGTCTCAGTTTGACTGTATATATATGTAACTTTTACAGTTTATACTGTGGAAAAGGTAATAAAGTACAAATTAAGAAAACAGCCTGTTTGCGTTTACCCCAAGTTTATACTAAATAAATCGAAGAATTTATGATCTGCCACCTTTTGTATTCCTCTCCATGATATTAGGATAAATTTCCCATATTACTGTGAAATGATGCGATCCTGATTATCGTTTGTATTTCAGCTCCATTTCCCTCTTTTCTTTTCCTCATCATTTGAAGTCTCCATATTGCTGCATGAACTCTAGCTTCTCTCACTAACATCTGTATAAGCTTTGGCCATAGAGGGCTCTCTGTGTGAGTCCATCCATCTGGCATAATGCATCATTGGCATGCTGGGCATGAATGCACGGCCCTTGAAATATAATAGCTGACCAAATGTTACATCCAAACACCGGTTAGGGTTTGGTGTAGGTATTGATGTCACTTTGACAACATTGATTCATTTTATTGTGCAGGTAAAGGGATGCTTTGTGAGGTTATTCCATTTTTTTTTAAACCCGCCTTGAAGCAAAGTTATAAATAATAGTGAAAGAAAATCTGAATTAAGTTCTGGTTGGAGATTGTGAAGCTCAAACACTTGTTAGAATGTGCTGTTTTACATGCTGTCTAACCCTGATGCTGTTTATCAGCGTGGATCCCAACGATCAGAAGAAGACTGCTTGCTACGACATTGATGTGGAGGTGGATGACACGCTGAAGACCCAGATGAACTCATTCCTGCTCTCCACAGCCAGTCAGCAGGAAATTGCAGGATTGGATAACAAGGTACAGACCTTAACCAAGCCGTATAACCGCTTTGTAGGGAAATTTTTCATTTTTTTCTCTTTGGGTATTTTCAAGAGGAAAAAATTGTCACTTGTGTGAATAGTGCGTCCTGAAGGATTTAAGTGTTTTATATATTTTTTGAAAAGACGGCCTCAGAAAACATCTAGAGTGTTGGAGCGTTTTTAGAAAAGATCAGACTGAGCGTCTGTTTTCAAGGCAGCTTTTCATTTTTCTTTGTGAGAAGTTATATTCTCCAAGGCTGATTTTAGTTCATTTGTTTCAAAGTAGAAACGAAGTGTAACTTTATTTTTCTCCAGTCTAAAATGTCTTTAGCTTTACTGTCAGTTCTGTAAGAGTTTATAAAGCTTTCCTGCTGAGACCAGTTCTATCCATAGTTGCATGTTCATTTTGCTGCCTGCGTATTACTCCTCCTGCTCGCGGTCATTACCTTGACGCCGAGGCCTGTAATCACACTGATAAAGCTCAAAGCTGTCCCGCTGAAGGGCATCCCTCTGTTTAGGCTTTGTTCTGGCAGAGTTTAATCATTTAAAATGTACAGAAAACTCTTCCAGGGCATCACCGCTGATTTGTACAGTTATCTGGAGTTTGGTGAGGATTTCTGATATATGCTCGGTTCCTTTGGGGCTCAGAAGACAGGCGGCTCTCAGCTCAGTCATTCAGACTTTTCTTTGTATTTGAAGCGTGTTTTAACAGCCTTCCCGAGACGTTTAGCTTTATATCTGCTGACATTTTCCCCTTACCAACTCTGATCCAGGAAATAAACCTGAGAAACATTCAGTCCTGTAATCAATGTCACACTAAAGTTTATACCAGATTTGTTCGTTTTACTGAACAGCAACAATTTCTTTTTTTAATTTAAAGTCTTAAGCTTAAATGCAAACATGCATCCCAGATGGTAGTAACAACCACTCGTCAGAGAGGGGTCCACTGACCTATTTGAAGCCGGACATACACTGTGCGATTTTTTTTTTTTTTCATTCGTTGCTGGCAGCAACAGCTCACGATGTATGTTCTCGTACTGTGCAGCACAAAGCTCCGATGCGATCTACCTGCTCAGGCTGTACGTCTAAAAACCTCGTCAGACTGAGCTCCGCAGTGAGATGGCGCTACTCAGACTTGTCGATCCGGAGGCATAACGAGTAGAAAAGGAATATGAAGCTGACTATAGTGAAACGTGCTGCCTTGGCAATTTGTGCAATTTTGTGGCTGAAAGCTCTAAAAAGAAAAGGCGGCGATGTATTTGGACAAAGACATTAGGGGTGGAACGGTTCACAAAATCCACGGTTCGGTTCACAGTTTCATGGTCACAGTGTTCGGTTCGGTATAAGTTGATTGTTAGGAAAATCTATTATGTCTTCTATAGTATAACACATGTTGCACAATGCTTTTTTTTTTTTTTATTATTAAGTCAACAAACATTTACATGAAAAAATACACTCAGAGAAGATAGCAAAGGTGAACATGAACAGATAAAGATCAATTACAATAAAAAAAAAACAAAGAAGTAAAACAACTAACAGGGGATTTATCTCAGCAAACATTTAAAACGAACATAGACAGAGCCATAGAAATAATAAAAACAAAACGGTCAATGCATTTAAAATAGCAGATGTTTGGAGAAATCAAGTCTCAATTTTTTGGCATAATTGTCATTTTTTATCTTCTTAAGAAAAGAAAAATAGATTTTAAAGTCATTCATAAACCAATGAAAGGAAGGTTTAGAATTTCTCCATTTAGCACAGTGGATATGATATTTACCCAACAGCAGGAGGACATTAATAGTATAAGAAACAGGCTGGGGAAGATGGTCCACATCCATAAAAAATGACATAATTTAGTGCAAAAGGGGTTTTGCACAATGCTTGCACACTGTTGCACTTTTATCCATGACTTTCTTTCCGCCGTCATCGTAGGTCACTCTAAATGCAAAGCGCTCCCATACAGCAGACCTATAAAGTGCTGCTGGCGTGTCTTCCAACTCCTGTTCTTTCCCACTCGCCATACCCACACAATTCTCTACAACAACTGATTTTTTTCTGCTACACCCGGCTACGATGCTTCGCTTCTTCTTCTTGTTTACTACTGGTGGTTGGCTTTGGTCGCAGTACCGCCACCTTCTGCTCTGGAGTGTAAACGCTTCGCCTATGAGAAAAAGGAGCAGCGCATGAACCGAACGCAACACACACGAATTGAACCGAACGGTTTGGACGGTTTTCATAAACCGTTCCATCCCTGAAAGACATGGCTAAGCAAACGTGGCTACTGCGGTCTGTCAATTTTACAGAAAGAACTCGCACTCCCGCCATGCTTCTGTGTTTACATCTGAGAGGAAGAAGAATCCTCGTTTGCGCACTGAGCGATTTTTCCCACGACAGTCGACTAATAATCAAACATGTTTGATTTTCTCTCATGATTTCTGATCGGGAGTTGGTTGTGAGAGGCTAATCACCTCTCGTTACCCCCTGTACACTACACGACTCAGAATCCGGCTGAAAGTCGGCCTGATCGAAAGTGTCTTGCAAGTCTGGAAAATCGACCCGAAAAGGGCAAAAAAATCACACAGTGTAAGCCCGGTTTAAAGCTCTGGAAAAGGCCAGCACATTTTCAGAGAACATTTTAGATTATTTATTTTTTTTTACTGATTAAATTAGCTCATCTCGTTAGATAATCATTGCTCCTGATTGGCTGTTTGATTGGCTCTGCTAAATATGTACCTTTATGATTACTCCAAAGTGATGAACACTCTACTGTCGAATTCCTCTCAGATCCATGAAACTATTGAGACCATCAACCAGCTGAAAACCCAGAGGGAGTTCATGTTGAGTTTTGCCAGGGATCCTCAGGGCTTCATCAACGACTGGCTTCAGTCCCAGTGCAGAGACTTCAAGGTGAGTTAGTCTGCTGTGACCTCAGACTGCCTCTCTTATCTCTGCTCCAATGTTACAGCAAATAGTTTGTAATTTTAGCTGCAGAAATCCTCTCTCAGCACTCTTGGGTTATTTTCCACAGAGGACATGACGTATGATTGAATTCTTAGAAATATTTCTCACATCTGACGCTTCGACTGTAGATATTGGTCATAATGTCAGTTTTTCAGATGAGCCCAGGCTGAGTAAGCCCTTCTGTGCGATTCAGAGTGAATTCCCTTAGGGTTAAAAAAGATGAAAGCGCAGCACTGCCCCTCCGCACAAAGAATGCATCACAGAAGTAGAGTGGCATGACTCATCTTTCTCACAAATTACTGCTGTTTTTGTTTTTCTTAGATCAGTCTCTGTTTTTATTGGTCCTCAGATGTGATTTATTTCTCTGTTTCTATATGTGACACCCCAAAACCTCCCAAGTTCATGAAGGAGCTTCTAGAGGCCAGACACAATTTAAAATCACAATTACTTGGATTACAGTGTCGTAGTCCGGTTATTAACTTTCTGGTTTTCATATCTCCTGATATTTACAGGATCTTTTTGGTGCAGCAGAGTTCAGGATGTCTGCATAGTTTTAGATGAGGAGCTGGCGTAGCATGGCTTCTCATTCATAATTCGCTCTGAGCTGATTTGTTCCTGCTTCGCATATTCAATCGATAGAAATAATCAAATTATCTCTAGATTTTTAGCTCATTATCTGTATGAGCTGGTTGCAATCAGACACTGAATCTTGGTGTTAATCACGTGTGAAGGGGCTGAAATCTCTGCTGCTCTAAAGGGTATTGATTGTAGCTTCACTTAAAAGAGCTTATTATGTTTGTTCTCAGGTGAAACACCGTTACCTGCTTCATGCTAGTGTTTTTACATCCTACTTGCGTAAATCAAGGTACTCTATTTTAAGAAAGTAAAAGCATCGATGTGTGTTTGTTTAGTTGGGAAATAAAGATAAGTTATCTTGAAGCAGGGGAGCACTGATGCATGAAATGGAAAAAGCCTTAAAAAGTCGTCCTTTTAAATAATAATGTGTATTTATATTAAGTTATTTGTATGGGTCGCTATTACAGAAAGGTATGATTGTAACACAGGAGGGCGGTTCTAAATGAAAATTATCTAAAACACATCCGTGGAAGCCTGCTGGTCTTCTGACCGGGTGATCCACCTCTCAACTTCTGTTGTTTGTTGAGATAAATCTTCAAATTTCAACAAATCTGGTCCTGGTTTGCTCTGCTGTCTCGTCTTATTCATGCTTTTAACAACCACAGTTCCTGTTATATCAGAGTCCGGATCAGTAACGGTTTTCTCATCTACAGACCATGACTGATGTTGTGGGAAACCCAGAAGAAGAGCGGAGAGCAGAGTTCTACTATCAGCCGTGGGCTCAGGAGGCAGTGTGTCGCTACTTCTACTCCAAGGTATCGTTTAGTTTTGCTGGGTTTTTTTTCTTGTAACCCCATTCCACGTATTTTTTCTCTCTATTTTTTCTACCCCAAAAGACTTGAAGGAGTACTTCTTACGTTTTACTGTTGAAATGTTGGGGCTTCATCCACTAACAGAGTGGAACTGTGTGTTTTTTTTTTTTTTTTTGTCGTAAATATTTCCCTCATTACCCTATTACATTATTTTAATTCTTCTTTTTATGTATATCACTTTTGTTTACCCTGTTAAAATGTGCTATAGAAATAAAATTGATAGATAAGTGGTTAGTAACAGCCTTGTTAAGTGTATGCTCCTGAAAGTAGTTGTGTAATTGTATCTATATGTGCTCAAGTTAAGAGTAACATCCAGAAACCCAAATGCTACGTTCACACCACAAGCAGCAAGGGCAGCAAAAACGTGTACGCTTCTTCATTTTTTATGTTTGTACAAGTTTAGTTCTGACGCTGCTCTAGTTGCGCGGTCGTAAAGTGGGTCTGAGGCGCGTCGGGCGGAGCTACTCTATCCTTTCCTTGCTTGTGGCAATGGCAGCTATATTTGCTGTGATCAGTGGGTAAAATGCAGTTTATATATGTATTTCAGTCAGAAAGTCCAACTGAAAACTAAATCAGTGCAGTCAGTTCATCCAGGTTACCATCCTGCCTTCAAATATTATTTCGCTGTCGGAGCTGCTCAGACCCCCACTTACCGGCGATGCTCTGTCACTAGGAATCCCATTCAACAGCAGCCTATGGCCGGGTCGCCTCTTGGTGGTTTGCCACGGCGACTGCAAGGCGTTTTTCATGTACGTGATCAAAGCTGCAGGCACCAGGATAATAAAAGCAAACATGTTTTGCTGGCAGATTTCAATATTTTAAGTTAATTTAGGCGTTAAAAAACTGTTACAGAGGAGTGATCATAGTGATCTGTATCATTAGCTCCAGCAGCTGCTGCGTTTGCAGCGTGTCAGATGCTCGGACGCTCACGATGAGTGATGTTTTGCTGCGCCTTGATGCGTGTCAACCATTGACTTTGCATGTAAACTAGCTGCTCCTGCTGCCTCTGCTGCTTTAGGTCTGAACGTAGCATAAGAGTTGAATGAAATGACATCATTAAAGTATTTTGAGAACATATTGCTGCTGATCAGTTGCTGTTTTTTTCTTTCATCTAAGGCGTCTCAGTGTGATTAGTGACCTGTGTGATCTTCTGCTAACATGAAAAATGTTCAACTTGATCATTTATATTGCAATATATCCTGCAGCTTCAATACTGATTATTATATTCTCTGAAGACTGAATGTCAGCCTGTTTTTCATTTAGTCTCTGATCCATTTTTTCTGATCTTTTTATTGTGAACGTCTCCTGATGATTATTTTGTCTCAATGAAAACATGTTTCAGGTCCAGCAGCGGCGACAGGAGCTGGAGCAGGCGCTTGGAATCAGGAACACTTGAAGAGGTTTTTCCTGCAGAATCAAACCGTGAGGATGAAGATGAGCTGAGATGTCCAGTTGGAGTTGATTAATGTGTGCGCTAGGTGCGAACTGAAGTCCCTGTATTTTTCACCAAAACTTTGCGAGAATGGATATGAAATGACTTTACTGTTAAATAGGATGTCACTTTTTCTGTTTCTTCACGCAGTTTAACAGAAATTATGTTGGATTCCGTTTTAGTTATATTTTTTTCATATCACATTTCTTTCTGCTGCTTAGTTAGTTTAAACACATTCCTTTTATTTTAGTACGCTGACACAAATACAGAGAGATGTCAGATTGTCCTTGAAAATGTTAAATGTAAGCTTTCCCTGAAACAACAACAAATGTTGAGCCTGCTGTTGCTCTTTTGTTCTATTGTGTTGAGACTAAAGTGACATTTTGCGCTCCTAACCGGCCTTCAGGTGCTCGCCCGTGGAGGTAAATATTGATTGTGATCGTGTTTGTGATCAGTTGGGCTTCTTTGCTGCATATTTACTGTTTGTGCCACTTGGATTTAGCTGTCGGTTTGTTTCGACAGCCCCACACTCTGTATGCGGGGTTGTTTTCAGCTCAGTGAGTCGTGGCAGAACATACACTGTTGCAGCACAGTGGTTATTTTTTTTTCTTAATGTTTCCATTTGATATGAAGTTTAGTCCTTTTTTTGTTTCTATTAGTGATCCTTGTTTTAACTAAATATGTATTACATCCATATTTGTCTTGTTAGGTAGTAAAGGTAATCATCAAAGTAGCTAGTACTGGTACCTCTAGTCTATATAGTTTTGTAAATACTGAGCAAAAATAAAAACTTCAGATGGATTAGAAGTTAACCTCTATCTTTTTCTTAAGTTTTTGTCTACTGATTGTTGCCACAGTATTTATATTGATTGGAAATGCTGTCAGTGCAGTGATTTGGTTCCTCATTGGGTGCTCACATGTAATGATCCACCTTTCTGTGAAGCATCTTGTTTTAAGAATGGCCGCCATTTAAATTGGGGTAAATTCAAACTTCTGCCTTATAAAGTTATCCATATTTTATTCAAGTTAAGAGAGATCATGGCGGAGGGTGATGAGAAGCAGTTAGCTGCTGCTTCCTACAGGCGACCTTCTGGTCATTTTTCCGTCTCCCGCAGGTTAAGAATTTTGACCAATGGGTTTTATTAACTCGAAGAATACACTAACGTGGGTTTGGGGTTGTGTGAGAGTTGGAGAACCTCTGAGATGTAAAACACTGAATGGACTGATGTAGACTTATGTGAATCTGCAGACTTTTTCTCATGGACCAAACCTATTTTCTGTATGCCCCTATGTTATAATAAATGATATGTAAAAAGTCGGTGTCTCTCCTCTTTTTAAACAAACCGTATCCATGTGGGTCAAGTTGAGATTGCAATTAAAGATTTTCTAACTATTGGTATTTTTATTTGCTCCTTATATTTGATTTTATTTCTCATCAATTCGATTATCTTTGGAATAGTTCTAGATTTAATGATGGAAGAAAATTTTAATTAGATCATATAGAAAATAAAACTGAAACCAATTTATTGGCATGTTTTAATGTCTTTAAGTAGTCAGAAGTTGTTTTCCTACGTTATAAAAAACAGCACCTGAGACGGTTGCTCTAGAACTGAACTGCAGCCTCTAATAAATCACTTGGATAATGCAAACAGTTTTAACATGGCTCTTCTGCTTAAGAGGATCTGGTCATGGAAAGAAAAACAGTAAAACTTCTAAGATGAATAAAAATGGGTCGAATAAGTCGGAAAAAAAATAGTACCTCAAAGTTTTAAGTGTTGAAGTTAAAACCTTTAGTGTAGCTGCTGTTTTATTCTTTCCCTGTCCAGTTTTCAGACCTGGTTTAGGCCAGCATGTTGGTTATTTCAGGCTTAAGAAGGAGCCAGTCGGGAAAACGAACAGGCCTAAACACTCCAACAGGGATCTAAAGGAGGAATCATCCTTCAGCTGATGTATCGCATGTGGTCCTACTTTAATATGTCAAAGATCTGAGATGAGAGGTTTTTAAAAAAAATGCAAAAAATTTTTTATTAAATTACAGAAAGTAAAACAGATTTTGACTGTTATGATGAAATGATTAGTTTAAAGTAGGCCTGAAACAATTATTTAGCAAATTAACTAAACTGTTGATTTTTTTTTTTCTCTCCAAATAATCGATTATTAATCTGATAGCCAAAGGCTCTTGAAAGAAGACTTTTGCACATTTAAACCAGGTGAAACAAAAACTTCCACTGGAGGAGTTCTGGATAATACGGAAGAGGATTAGAGCCACAGGAAAAAAAATTTATTTCAATTTAGTATGGGAAAAAAGTCAGAATTCTGACTGACTTTTTCTCAGAATTCTGATTTTAATCTCAGAATTTTGGATTTTAATGTAGATGGGCACCATGAAGGCAGAGATGTGGGAGCACTCAGCTTCACTGACAAAGATGTGAGTTGTTTGAGAGGGCCAGTGACACACTGGTGGAAATTGTCGGAATTAGGCAACTTTTTACGTGCCAGGGGGGTCCCCTCCTTAATAGAGGAGCAGAAGGTTATTAATACAAGAGAGCTAGTCTCTAAAACAGACATGGCTATGGGTGATGCTAACATGTTTATCTGTCAGAATTCTGAGATTAAAGTCAGAATATGTTAAATGCAAATTTTTTTTTTACAATTTTTATATAATCACTGCTCTAAGTGTGTCACTCTGTCAGCTGAAGGCATGTTTTACAGTCTCTATACTCCAGTTAACGATTAATTGATTACAGAATTTGTTGATTTTAATCTATTAATCACAACTAATTGTTTTAGCCCTAAAGATTTCCTAAACTTTCAGAAGGTAAGCTGTAAAATAAACTTAATTAAATTGTCTTGATAATCACATGAATCCTGCCTGTTTATCTTGATAATCAAAGCACTACTGGGTTTCCTGCATCTTAAAAACACACCCGCAGAGCTTTGATCTTTTGCTTACCTGTGGTTTAAAATGTAATGGTCAATATGAATGGTTTTGTCATGGGGTTAAGGTGATTTTTGTAATAAAGTGTTGGTAGAAGAATGAAAAAGTTGGAGGATTAAAAGTGATTAATTTATTTGGTTCCAAACTTTTCCTCTCAGCTGTATGTTTCTGTGTGATTAGGAATAAACTAAGTCAATCAGTGAGTTTCAATCACATCTGAGATGTCGTAACTGTGTTCTGGAGATCATCAAATTCATTAAAGCCTTTGTGTGTAAATGAAATGGGCCGTTCTGCATCTGCATCTTAGATTGGTGCTGCTGCTCCTGTGCAGATCTAAGCAGCAACAGATCAAACCAACCATGAGGAGAGGGTGTGTCTGAGCCTCAGCCGTGGGACTGTGCTATAAATCCAATCTGCTCCAGTGCTCTGTACGCCCTCCCAGCAGCAGCTGCAGCCCTCTCTCTCTGTGGGAACCCAAACACATGATGAGTGCGCCAAAGAAAGTCTGTGTGATCGGCTCTGGTAACTGGTGAGTGGGAGCTTTCAGTGTTGCTTTAGTGCAAAATGTGAAGTTTAAAAAAAGGGCAGACTGCAAGAAATGTTGCTCAGAGGAAAAGTGTCAGCACACGCTGAGACTTTAGGTGGATAAACACTAAAAGTAGGTCAACTTGTGCAACTTTAAAGGCAGATAAATGATTAATAAAGTCCTTAAACTCAATGGGAAACTTTTCAAGGTTGCAGACTGGACGTTTCCTGAGACTGTCACTGACTCAAAGACTCCTCAACTGTAAAATCTTTATTAAAGAAGTCACTTTATTAGTCTGCAGGTCTCTGTGCTGAATCAGCCTTCCAGCACCGTTGATGTCCCTCAGCCTGTGTGACATTTAGTCAATGCTGGATGCAACCTCTGCACCTATGTCTTCATTACAGTCAACTCTAAAGTTAAAATGTCTCACATACTTACATCTTTACTGCTTCATCCAATTTCCCATGTCTAACCCAGGTCTTCATGTCAGAACCTTTAACTTAAGCAGCAGTTAACTTGATCCAAAACTGAGAACTATGAATAACGGCACTGAGATATATTTTGTAATTATAAGCCTATCTATCACAAATTTATATGGAGGACCTTTTGAGGTGTTAGCTTTTTTTTTTTTTTTTTTTTTTGAAAGTTGTGTTAAAATATAGGCATCTATTACTATTTAAACAGGACTTTAAAGTACATTTCTTAAAATAAAAATCTTAAACTTTAGAGCTGTTAAACTTATTTGTTAATTTTTTTATGATCACATAATGCAAACTAAAGAGGCAGTAATAGTAGTCAATTATTTATGGCATATTGGTCATTTCTTGGTCGAGTATGTGTTTATGGTGAGTCAATTGCTAGCTGTAATTGTGATTTTCCATTAAGATAGTGAAATAAAAAGGTAATAACTAATAAAAGATGATTTTTTTTTGTATCATTATTATTAATGGGTTGTAGGCTATGAAAAGCTAACTTAATTCCCTATTCTCTATATATCCTTGGTTCTGTAATGTAGGAATCTGTTTCGTTCTAATGGATAATGTAGTTGAATCGTCCATCAACTCCTGCTGAAAGTGGAAAATTTAGAAGCCAGATAAGGACTCCTATTGTTTCCATAGAACAAAGTCCGCTCCGTGTGCTTCGATTAAAACAAACAGTAACAAGTGCTTTCACAGAGAAACGCCACATGGCATGTTGCAGAATAAACATGCATGTGTAGTTTGCCCCAGGGTCTTTTCATTTGATGGTATAAATGTAGAAAAAAAATTATCTTCGCCTTTTAAATCTTAATCTACGGAAGAGGATTAGGGCCAGTGGGGGAAAAAAAAAAGTTAACTGATTTTTACATTTTATTTCAGTTTAGAATGGGGGAAAAGGTCAGAATTCTGACTTTAATCTCAGAATTCTGTCTTTAATGTAGGAATTCTAACTTATTTCTCATAATTCTGACTTTTTTCTCAGAATTCTGACTTTAATCTCAGAATTCTGACTGAATTCTTACATAAAAAAATTCAGAATTCCGAGAAAAAAGTCAGAATTATGAGGACAAAAGTCAGAATTATGAGAAAAAAGTCAGAATTCAGTCAGAATTCTGAGATTAAAGTCAGAAATCTTACTTTCTTCCCATACTATACTGAAATATAATTTAAAAATCAGTTAACTTTTTTTTTTCTAGTGGCCCTAATACTCTACCATATTAATCTGTCTTTGAGGTACTTGTGAATAGTTGATAGAAAACAAGCTCCTCGCTATAAAAAAAAAAAAAAAAAATATATATATATATATATATATATACAGCTTTATAGATCAAACCTATTTGTTTGCAACTTTAACGCCTCCCGTGATATTCATTGAAATTGAAGTTAGAGGTGCAATAAAATATATATCCCATTAGCACATGTCTGCTTATGTCCTCAGGGGCTCCGCCATTGCCAAGATCGTGGGAGCCAATGCAGCAAAATATGACAAGTTTGACACCACAGTGAACATGTGGGTGTTTGAGGAGACGGTGAACGGCAGGAAACTTTCAGAAATCATCAACTCAGACCATGAGAATGTGAAGTACCTTCCTGGACACAAGCTGCCCCCTAATGTGGTGAGTGTGACATGAGGCTGGCTGCTTTATTTCCACATTCCTCTTTCTCTAACAGAAGACTGATGGCTCTGTCTCAACTCTCTCTTCTCTTTACCAGGTAGCCGTTCCAGATTTGGCGGAGTCTGTGAAGGGAGCTGATATCCTGATTTTCGTGGTTCCTCATCAGTTCATTTCAAAAGTGTGCGAAACCATCAAAGATCACATAAAAAAGGATACGATTGGAATGTCTCTCATCAAGGTCTGTCAAACTCAAAGTGCCTTTCAGACTGTGAAGCTTTTTCAGATTTTATGCTTATATCTGATTCTTTTCTGATTTTTAAAGATGCCATTGAGATTATTCATTTCAGTGAAAGTTAAACACCAAATATGTTTTTTTTGCCCAAGAACTTCTAGTTTATAAGTGTACCAATACGTTGTTTTGTTCTTTTTATAAGGAAATTAACAACTCATTTCACCTCTCCTCTCTGAGTAAAATTCCTAAACCTTATTTCCATGTTGAAAACATCTGCTTATTATTGTTATTATTCTGTTATAATTTTGGCTTCAGGGTGTAGATGCAGGACCAGAGGGTCTGAAGCTCATTTCCGAGGTCATCCGGGAGAAACTCGGCATCACCATGACCGTCCTGATGGGTGCAAACATTGCCAATGAAGTCGCTGATGAGAAGTTCTGCGAAACAACTATTGGTACTGATTTTACTGTTTTAAATAAGCTGGGGGGGGGGCTCTCATTTTAGACTTAGACAAACTTTATTATACA